AACACCTAATCACAGATTCCTGGAATTCTCTAGAATTTTTACTAATCTTTGATTTTTTTTTATTTCCTTGTAGGAATTATGTTCCCCAGAAAAGTATCCCCAAGGAAGTACCACCAGGTACTAAGTCCTCTCCAGGTTGGTCCTGGGAGGCTAGCTCCTTAGTTTCTACGCCATCTTCCCAGAATACACCTCTGGCTCAAGTATTTGTCCCTTTGGAGTCTGTTAAGCCCAGTAAGTACAGTTTCACCCCCCACCCCCTTTTTTTTTTCCTTTCTGTTAACTGTCTAGCTTTATCTACTCAGGATTGGTAGATGTGGTCCTTAAACTTGGGAAGATGAGTGGTAGAGAGTTTGCCAGTGTCAGAGAGCAAGAGATAGCTTCAGAGTCTCTTAGCTAATATTTTTCTTCTGTAATTTAGCTACTATTTGTCTTTAACTTATAGTTGGCACTTTGAAGGATATTGGCAGGCATGATTTAATTTAATGAGGGGACTTGAGTGTACTTAGGGTCGTGGTATTAATTCATTTGGAATTCAGAGACGGAAATGTTCAGTGTGGCCTGAAGTGACTGAGAAGAGGAGGAACTTCGGAAGGAAGGGGAGAATTTGGCTAGTAATCCTCTGTCTTCAGGGATCCTCATTAAAGCAGGAAAGTGGGTGTTACCTCTGTTCTAGAGGAAAGGAAGCTGAAGACCCAGCTAAGGTAGGTCTGTGATCGGTGCACTGTAGTAAGTGGTAGAGCAGAAAAATTAGAGTCTTGGACTCCAGGGCCCGGTCTCTTTTTTTCTAGAGTACAGAGCCGTCCTGTGACTCAGTGGTGAGGGCAGATTGCAGAGGGCCTTGAAGTCAGGCAGAAGAACTTAAGCAGGCAACGCAGTTTGCTCTTAGCTACTAACCAAAAGGTTGGCAGTTTAAATCCACCCATTGGTGCCACAGAAGAAAGGTTTGGTGATGTGCTTGGTAAGATTAAAGCTAACTTCTTGCTATCAAGTTGATTCTGGCTCATAGCAGCCCTATAGGACAGAGTAGAACTGCCCCATATGTTTTTTTCCAAAGCTATATTCTTTACAGAAGCTGGTTGCCACATCTTTCTCCTGAGGAGCAGCTGATGGGTTCAAACTGCTGACCTTTCGCTTAGCAGCCGAGTGCTTTAAGCACTGTGTACCAGTGCTCCTTTCTGTAAGGATACAACCAAGAAAATCCTGTGGGGTACAGTTTTGCTCTGAAGCACAGGGGTCGCTAGGACTTGAAATTGACTTGATGGCAATGATTTTCTTTTCTTTTACTCTTTTTTTTCTTTTCTTTTTTTTAAAGAGGTGTTAATTTTTTTTATTTAAAGAGTATGTTCCAGTGTAAAGGTTTTAGAAAATAACGCAGAAAATTAAAGCATCTGTACCATCACCACTCAGGGATGGAAATTCTGTTAACGTCTTAATGTATTTTCTTGTCTTATCTGTATACATATGTACAGACGTACACACATTTTTTAATGAAATCGGCACCGTAGTATATGTAGACTACTTTATATTTTGCTTTTTTATTTTCTATTAAATCATAAGCTCATAAGCACTTTTTTGTGCTCTTAACTAATCAAAAAATTGATTTTTAATGGATCCACATATTATACCATTAGATGTGTCATAATTTATTCCATTCTTTTCTGACGGATAATTTGAATACAGTCATTTTTTCGTTAAAACATTTCATTAGGCTTTATTCTTTTTTTTTTTTTTTTATGTTGTGTTTTTGGTGAGAGTTTAAACAGCAAATTAGGTTCCCATTTGACAGTTTCTACACAAATTGTTTGTTGACATCAGTTACAGTTTCACAGTGTGTCAACATTCTGTTTAATTGTGTTCTGGTTTTTTGTTTCCAGTACTCCAGTTTCCTGCACCTTATCTTCTTGTCTTTGCTGTAGAGTAATTGTTGACCTTTTTTTTAGGCTTTATTCTTAAAAGTGAAAATGCAGGGTATAGACATTTAAATTTTTATCTGTAGTACTAAGTTGTCTTCCAGAAATGTTACCATTCCCCCAGTTACTCATTAGCACTGGGTATTTTCAGTCTTTTAAATCTTTGACAGTTTGATATTTGACAAATATATTGCTTTATAATTTGCATGTTGATTGTAAGTGATGACAGGCATGAAATAAAAATCTTCGTTCAAATTTTTTCCAGATTTTTAGCCAGTTGTCTGAGTGCCATTTATTTAATCAGCCATTGACTTTGAAATACATGTTCTTATGTTAAATGTGTGTGTGTCACATGCTCTGTTTTACACCACATTGCTTGAATTGTCATTTTATATGGTATCTGCGTATTTATTAATGCAAATAGCATAGCCCTGCCTCTTTTTTTTTTAATTCTTAAAAACTTACTGGTTATCCTCATGTAGTTTTTTCTTCCAGATTAACTTTAGAATCACATCTTAGCTAAATTAAAACAATTTGTCTAAGATTTTTATTGGCATTTCATTAAATCTATTAATATGGGGAATTGGCTGTCTTTACATTTTTGTAAAATTAAATATAAGTTGGGTATGTGCATAGTCATACAAAAGAGACTAGAAGGAAATAGTCCAATAACTATCAGGGAATGTGTTTAGGATGGTTGGATGGTGGGGAGAGGTCAATTTGGAGGGGAGTAGGAGTCAACTAGAAGTGATGAGGATTTGGATTGTGGCGGTGATGGTGCCGAAAGGTTAAGTCCAAGTGATGTTCTGAATGGAGAGGCAGAAGGATTTGGTGATGTGCACATCTCTTTCAGCTTGACTGTCTGGGGACTTCGTAGTGTGCTAACCCTTCTGGTTGGGTCCCACTCTACCAGGCAGCCTGCCTCCGATTGTCGTGTATGACCGGAATGGATTCAGAATTCTGCTCCACTTCTCCCAGACTGGGGCCCCTGGCCACCCAGAGGTGCAGGTGTTGCTGTTGACCATGATGAGCACTGCTACCCAGCCTGTGTGGGACATCATGTTTCAAGTAGCTGTGCCAAAGGTGAGTCATCTCCTGGCCAGGACTTTTAAGTTTTTCAGTAACGGCTATCATTTTTGAGCACCAGGTGCTCTGCTAGGACTCTGGCATTGTTAGTTAGGACTCTTGGTTGTAAGGGTTAGAATCTTCACTCTGTCTAATTTAGGATAAAGTGGGGATTTTATTGGGTCATTTAACTGGGGATACCTGGGTATCTGGCTTTAGGTGTGGCTGGATCCAGGTAGGTTCTTAAATGAGTCCATAATATCCTATCTCTTTCCATCTTGACTCTGCTTCCTCTTTGGGGCATGTTTTCTGACAGACTCTACAAAGCAGGAAATTGGCTATCTGGAGCTCCAGAGTTACATTGTCCTTAATACTTTTTAGCTCAGAAAGAAACTTCCCTCGCATGAGGCATGCATGTTGATTACCCAAGAAAGGGCTCTGATTGGTGTTGATGAGGTTTCTTGCATATTTGGACCAATAATTTGTATCTAGACAGGAGAGGTACTCTAACCAATTTAGATAATATCTACACCCTTTTTCAAGGGAAGTAGGGCCACACTGATTAATGGCCATACAAGAATCAAGAAATGGGAAAAGGGGCATGTCCTGAAAGGAAAAGATTCCAGACAAAAATATGCATTCTCTAATCTTCACAGTAATCTTGTGAGGTATGTATTATTATTGCCTCTATTTTATAAATTATGAGTCCCAGGCTCAGAAAGGGTAAATGTTTTGCCCAAGGTCACACAGAATTAGGAAGAGGCAGAGTTAGATAAATTCAACCCAGCATGTGCCTTCACTCTTTATGTTGCCTCTCAGATGCCAGCCATTGACCACACGACTTCAGATATGTTCTGTGTGGGGAAGGAAAATCCTGTAGATCATTTTCCTCAATTAGTAGGAGCCATCTGCTTGCGCTCCTGTAGGTGCCTTGGGGTACCGTGTCTCCTGAGAAGGCCATATTCTCTTAGGGGACTCGTGTGGAAGCCCAGCTCCTGTCCACCCAGTGAAACTCAGTGAAGCTGTAGTTTGTTAGGAATGAGTTACATCTTGGTTTTCCTCCCGTAGTCAATGAGAGTGAAGTTGCAGCCAGCATCCAGCTCCAAGCTTCCTGCATTCAATCCTTTGACGCCTCCAGCCATGATCTCTCAGATGCTGCTGCTTGAAAATCCACATAAAGTATGATCTTATCTTTGGTAGCAGGAAACTGGGGGCCCTGAACTCTAGGGAGGTAAATTTGAGGGTGGAGAGAGGCATACTGGGGCCTGGCTATAAAGTCTCCAACTTGGTTGAGGGTGGTGGTGGAATATTCCTTGCTAGTGTTGTTCCTTCAGGGCTTATTGAAAGAAGATCTGTGACAGATTGTCATAGTTGGGAACTGAGGGGGGATATATGAACTTTCCCTGATGCAGTGGGAGTCCTGAGGGGTGAGTCTTCTCTGTCTTCCTTAGCTGGTGTCTCTGAATTATGGTCCATCTCAGGACTGCAGATGTGTGGGAGGGCTCCCCTTGTGTTTGTGTCCCAAACAGTGTTCATGTCAGGCAGTGGTGTGAAGCCCTCACTTGGGTGGGAGTTAACATACATGCTGTTCCTTGGTGGCTGCTGAGTGGGTGAAGGCTTTTTCTCTGGGCTATTTCTGTGTCACTCTTAACTAATTTAACATCTTATGTCTTTACCCAGGAGCCCATCCGGTTGCGGTATAAACTGACATTCAACCAGGGCGGGCAGCCTTTCAGCGAAGTAGGAGAAGTGAAGGATTTTCCAGACCTGGCTGTCTTGGGTGCAGCCTAACTTTTCAAAAGGTGGACCCTGCTGTCCAAGCTTAGGCCACTGTTCCTCTCTCAGTCTAGATAGGACTGACCACGGTGATTTTCGTGCAGAGTGCCAAGAGTTCTCTCCTGCCATCAGGCCCTGGATGCCACTCTCTGACTTATTCCGCAGATACTGTTTGTGTGTGTGTTGGGGGGGGGGGGGGGGAGGGTAGAGCGGGACTTGGGATATGGGCAGCGTGTGAAATGCAGAATCATTTCTGATAATCATCTGATACAACCGTATCTGTTTCTGCATGTTGATGGACACTGTTCCTGCTTCAGGTTGGCAGTTTTATAAGCCAAAGGTTTTTTCATGTATTGTTATTTTTTCATTCATTCACTCTGTGCCTTGTCAGCCTTTGAAAGTCTTGGTTGCTCCCAGGCTGCTGTTCTCAGGGACCTTAAAAGGGACCTGGTTGGTCTTGGGGCAGAGAGTATCTCCTGGGCCACTCTCTACCAAGAAAGACCTTGTCTCCATTTCCATTAGAGAATGCTGCTGCTTACATGTATTCAGGAAGACCTTCTGCATGGAATGCTTATTGCACTGTTTCCAGGCGAGGGGCTGCCTCTAGACCAGAGGACCACACTTGGTGGGCCAATCATGTCCTTCACCACTGTGCCTTAGACCTGCCCTTAGGTGGACCCTCCGGGGCAGAGGGGAAAGCTGATCCTGGGCCTCAGGTTCCGTGGGTTGGGCAGTCTGTCTGAGCCCTTACTCTGGACCCTCATCTCCATCCTCATCCTCCTTCTCAAGCATTTACTGAGCTCTTCGACTGTGACAGTGTGTGATTCATTATAAGTCGTCACTAAACAGGCCAGCCCTTGACTGTTGTCAACTTCACAATCCAAGGTAGAGAACTGTATGCAAATAGATAGGAAAAGAGCTTAGCCATGATTTAAGTGGTGACTAAACATAGAAAGTCATTGAATAAATACCGTGTAGCAAATATACTTTGTGGAGTGTTGGGTAAACAGGAGATGCAGAGCCAGTTGCATTTAGAGATGATCGGCCTAAAGGGAACTATCATCTATTGAGTAAGGAAGGCTTTTTGAAGGATGTGAAACCCCAATAACTGCTTCAGCGCAAAGAAGCCTTGATGATCTGAAGAAAGCTGGAGAGGAGAGCTGGATATTTCTGTTATATTTATGGTCTGAAGGAAAAATTCATGTTTACAATCAGCTAATATTTAGTGAGCACCTACTGTGTGCTGAGCATTTCGATCTGCACATTTACCAAGTCCTGCTTGGCCTGGTCAGTGGAAGAAGGAGCCTGAGCGAGGCTGAGGTGCCCTGATGAAGGGCTTTGAAGTCTGACCTGACTGCGCTGGATTCTACCTTGGGGATGACAGAGCTCTCTCCGGGTCAGTTCACCACCAGGTCTGAAACTTCATAGGCTGATCTTCCAACTTCTCTCTATATAGTTGGAAATCAGTCAACACTAATTGGTAGGAATGGGAGCTGCATAAGATCATCAGGGTAAGCTATTTTTTAAGCAAATGTGAAAACTCATAAAACAAATGATGGGTGATTTCTTCATTTGGCATAATTCATGTAGGATTAATTCTAACCTAAAATTACTCTTTTATCTAGGTGTTCTGTGCAACTTTTATAGGCTCTATAGCTCTTACATAAAGTCTTTGAGAAGTATCCTTCATAATGACAATGTGTGCCCATGAAGAACATCAAAATGAGTGACTGAGACTTACTTTGGAAAGACTTACTTTTATCCCATATCCAGAGGTGAACTTGAGTTTGTGTGCCTGAACGTTTTTCTGTCTTCTGGGAGGCAGACTCCCAGTGGTGTTCTGGTTAGGTGTAGTTGGATAGGATGTAGTGGTAAAGGGGTAGGTGCCCTGAAAGTGGTCCTGATTAATATTATTCATGCCTTCTAATTGCCAGGTTTGTTGACCACTTAGAGCCCAGTCCTCATTCTTCCATTCAGTCAACAAGTCCTTGTTTACCACCTACTGTGAACCAGGCAGTATTGTAGACACAGTCTATAGCAGTGACATGTCCCTCCCTCATGGATCTTCTAGTGGAGAAAGACAAATTCATAATAGATCTGGTGGAGATTTGGCACTGATGATCAGTGTTTTCCTCATCCTGAACTCCTTACAGGATCCTGTTCACCCTTTTTTTTTTTTTTTTTTTATGTTATTTTTGGTAAAGGTACACATGGGAGAATAGGTTCGATTTCACCAGTTTCTATATATAATGTTCAATGACATTGGTTACATTCTTCACAGTGTGTCAACATGCTCATTATTTCCGTTCTGGTTGTTCCATTTCACCCTAATTTCTTGACCTACTTCTGTGACTGTTGCTCTTCCTCTGTCAGTCCCTTAAATGTAGTGGCTTCCCAGGGTTTAGTCTTGGGCAGTCAGGCCCATCTGTGGTTTTTGCAGTCACCTAAAACCACTAGATGGGTCTTGGACGTATCTCAGGCTTCCACCTCCTTGCTGACATCATATCTGTATTTCAGATTGTCATTGGCTATCTCCATCTGCAGGCTCCGTTCTAAATGCTTAGAATGGAATCCATCCTTCTCCATTTCCCTTTCTACGTTCTCTTTTACTTTAAAGCACCTACCTAGAGACCTCCTGGATCCTTGATTACTGTACCGTCTGCATCCACTCAGTAGTTTTGTCTCACCTAGTCTGTTTTCTAAATACAACCACATTTTGCCCTTCCCTGCATTCATATTGCCACTGCCCTGGTTTGGGCCTAATCTTTTAGAAATAGTGCAGTTGCCTACCATCTCCCAATTCTCTAAGCCATTTTACTTGCCACCACCAGGATTCCCTAATGAATATGAGCACTTGAACTCCTGTGGAAAAGTTCTGAGTAGCTTTCTAATGCCTACAGGATCAAACTCAGATTGCCAGCATTCATGCCCTTCTGCTTGTGCCAAGACCAAAAAAAACTCACTGCCATCGAGTCATTTCAACTCATAGTGACCCTGTAGCACAGAGAACTACCCCATAGGGTTTCCAAGGATCTGGTGGATTCAAACTGCTGACCTTTTGGTTAGCAGCGAGCTCTTAACCACTGCACCACTAGAGTCCCCTGCCAAGACTAGAGCACCTAAAATGAGCCTGATTGCATTGTTGATGTTCGCTGATACCCTTTAAGCCTCACCTCTCCCTTTTCCCCTTGTGCCCCACATCTGAACAAGTTGATAAGCCTGGGTGTGCCGTCTTTGTTCTGGGGGAAGATTCCAGCCCCTGCCTGCATGTGGGAACTTTAGCTCAGCCCCACCCCCTAACTATGGTAAAAACCCAGATGGTCTCTTTCAAACCATTTCAGACCTGTTGAGAGCCTCTCCCTACTCTCCCCCAAAAACCTCGATTATGTAGGTAATAAAACTTTTCATACCTTCTTGGTGTGTGTGGCGTCATCAGTCTTGACATCCATCCCACACACTGGGTGGGGTCCCTCCTGCTTTTGCACAGTGACCAGAAGAGCATCCTTTGCCACAGCCCTTTCAGTCTTCGATAATGCCATGCTTTTTCATTTTCTTGAGACTACGCATGGCAGTTAATCTCTCTCCATTTCCCCGCTGATTTTTAAGACTGGGTTTACATGCAGCCTCATTGGTGAGCCATTCTTTTTGGCATGAGTGGGCATTGGGGATAGAAAATGTTGGAAAACAATACATAACTTAGTTAATGACCAAAAGAAAAATAGTACCTGTAAAAAATGAAATAGTGTAGTGTAAATGGAGATCTCTAATAAGGTAGAAAGTGAAGGCAGTATTGTAAAATACAAATAGTGCTTGATTGCTGCAAGTCTCTCCTTTGTTTATCCAATACAGGAAGTGTTCACAAAACTCAAGAGTGTAAAATTCTTTGAATTAGCTGCTGTTTTTTTTTTTGTTGTTGTTGTTTAACTAAGAAAACAGGAGAGGTTCCTGGAATGCTATGCTAGCCAAGGTTTTATTTTTTTTAAAAAGGTGCAGTCTGATGTTTTTCACCTGGAAAGAGGTGGTGTCAAGTAGAAAGGATGAGCCACATCTTGGCATTATGTAGTTGTGTACCCAAGGTCCAGAGTTGTCATCACACACACGACTGGATAGCTTCAGCCGTTTCATTCCCCTAGCTGATTCATTGCCAAAAATAGCATATGTATTCTGAGAAAGCTTCCATTTAAAAAAGTGTAAATATTCTACTCCTTTGACTACTTCTTGAGAAGAGTACATACTTCATCCTACTTCCAAAGGTAATACTAAAAAAGTTGAAATAACATACCAGAGTGTTCCAGGCCCCAGATACATGGGCCTTTAAATTTAGAGATTGTGTACTAACGATGAAATAGTCTGTTAAAGTCAACCCTTAATAGGAATTCTGTTTTTTACCTTTAGTGCTGCTCTAACTAGCTGTGTGATCTAGGGCAAGGAATTTATCAGATTACTCCCCCTGTAAAATGGATGTAAAAGTACCTACCTCATATGGTTGTTTTGAGAATTTAAATGAGTTAAGACATGTAAAGTGACTACAACGCTGCCTGGCACTCAGTGAGTGAAATATTAGTCTTAGCCATTTGCTGTTATTGGCATGTCCACCTGGCTTCCACAGCGTTAACAGGCTTGCCCATAATTATTTAAAAATAACCTCATGTAATGGCCAACAGACATGAGGAAATGCTCGTGATCACTAGCCATTAGAGAAATGCAAATTAAAACCACAATGAGATACCATCTCACCCCGGCATTACTGGCACAAATCAAAAACACTGGAAATGTTGGAGGGGCTGCGGGGAGACTGGAACTCTCATGCACTGCTGGTGGGAAAAATGATAAAACCATTTTGGAAAATGATACGGCGCTTCCGCAGAAAGCTAGAAATAGACATACCATTCGATCCAGCAATCCCACTCCCAGGAATATATCCTAGAGAAATAAGAGTCGTCGCTTGAATAGACATATGCACACCTGTGTGCATGGCGCATTGTTCACAATAGCAAAAAGATGGAAACAACCTAGATGCCCATCAACAGATGACTGGATAAACAAACTATGGTACATACACACAATGGAGTACTATGCAACGAGAAAGAACAATGATGAATCTGTGAAGCATCTCATAACATGGATGAAACTGGAGGACATTATGCTGAGTGAAATAAGTCAATCACAAAAGGACAAATATTGTATGAGACCTCTGTTGTAAAAACCCATGAAAAAGTTCACACACAAAATGTAACAATCTTTGTTGGTTACCAGGGATAGGAGGGGTGGGGGGGAAATACTAAATAGGCAATAGATAAGTGGTATCTTGGGTGAAGGGTGAGACAGTATACAATACAGGGGAAACCAGCACAACTTGTACAAGGAAAGGAAAGGGAAGCTCCGTAGACATATCCAAACTCCCCGAGGGACTGAACTGCTGGGTGGAGGGCTGTGGGGACCATGGGCTCGGGGAACATCTAGCTCAATTGGCATGACACAGTTTATAAAGACAGTGTTCTACATTCTACCTTGGTGAGTAGTGTCTGGGGTCTTAAAAGCCTCTGAGCAGCCATCTAAGATACTCCACTGGTCTCATCCCTTCTGGAACAAGGGAGAATGAAGGGAAAAAGATACAAGGAAAAGATTAGTCCGGAGGACTAATTGTCCACCGCTACCAAGGCCTCCACCAGACTGAGTCCAGTACAGCTAGATGGTGCCCAGCTACCACCACTGACTGCTCTGACCAGGATCACAACCGAGGGTTCTGGACAGAGCTGGAGAAGGATGTAGAACAAAATTCTAACCAAAAAAAGGACCAGATTTACTGGCCTAAAGGAGACTGGAGAAACCCCGAGAGTATGGCCCCCAGACACCCTTTTAGCTCAGTGATGAAGTCATTTCCGAGGTTCACCGTTAAGCCAGGGAGTGGACAGCCCCATAAAACCAAATGGGACTAATGAGGCACAGCAGTCCAGGGACAAGGGCCAGAAGGCAGAAGGGGACAGGAAAGCTGGTGATAGGGAACCCAAGGTTGTTAACTATTGTCATAGGGCAACGTGTACTAACTGTTAAATGAGAAACTATTTTGTTCGTAAGCCTTCATCTAAAGTGAGAATAGCAGCACAATTGGAAGAGTGTAGTTGATGTCACTGAACTGTGCATGTAGAAATTTTTGAAATGGTGTCTTTGGCTATGTGTATTTTCACCAAAAAAAAAAAAGGTCAAGGGAGAGGGTTGACATGTTGTGGGGTTGTTAACTAATGTCATCAAATAATATGTGTGCTACTGTTTCATGAAAAACTATTCGTTCTGTAAGCCTTCACCCGAAGTACAATAAAAAAAAAAACAACCTCATGGAAAAAAAGCAAATAGTCAACATTCTGGTGAGGTTCAAATTAATACTGACGTAAAGGGGAGTTACTGCTTAGGGAGCACTGAGTTTCTGTTAGTGGTGGTGGGATAATTTGGAAAAGGATAGCAGTGATGGTTGTACAACTTGATGACCGTAATCAGTGTCACTGAACTGTACATGTAGAAATAATTGAATTGGCAAATGTTTTATGTATATTTTTACCACAATTAAAAAAATATAGATGGATAACAAAAATTACATTAATTGGAAACTACACTCCTAAATTTAGTCAAGGAAAAGCAGAAATCCATAAAAGAACCTGTGGAAACTAAGAATGAACACACTTCGTAGAGAAGCATTTATTCAGTTAACAGTTTTGTAAACAAGGGTATACTCAGGCTAAAATTAGTAACTTTGACACCCAAATCTGAAGTAGATAGCACAAAGATAAATTGTAGTCCATTCTGGTTTTAATACATACGCAAATATTTTAGCTAAAGTATTAGAGGTTTTAAAGCCAGTGGTGTATTAAAAGAATACACTTACAAAGCATTTTCTGAAAATGCAGTTAACCATATTAAAAGCTCAGAAGTAATGATCATTTCAATAGATGTAGAAAAGGCATTTTATCTCATTTATTTCTAATAAAACAGCCAGCATCATGATTAATACAGAAATGCTAGAGGAATTCTATTAAAATTAGAAATGAGAATTTAGGAATATTTAATATGATGCTGAAGGCACTATCAAACGGGAAAAAAAATTAAAACCCTTTGGAAAGAAAACAAAATATTTGCAGATAAAAAGTAAATATTAGAACTAATAAGAGGGTAAGGTATCTATCTGGTTCCAAAATAAATATGCTGGTTTTCTGTATACCACTTTTAACCAGTTATATACGGTCGCTAGGAGTTGGAATCAACTTAGCAGCAACAGGTTTGGTTTTTGGTATGTTGGGGTGGGGTATAGAATTCTCAGGAATAAACTCAAGAAATATATAGGATTTATATTGTAGAAAACCAGCTGCCTCTCAACTCCCACCCTTTTCTCAAAGACCTGCCCATCACCTGCTAGGTTCCAAGTTATTGGGCTCAGTCTCCAGGTTAGTGCCATGTGACTCTGTTCCCTCTTAAAACAAAACAAAACAAAAAAAAAACCAGTTGTTGTCCAGCGACCCTGTAGGACAGAGTAGAACTGCCCCATAGGGTTTCAAAGGAGCAGCTGGTGGACATGAACTGCTGACCTTTTTGTGAGCAGCCAAGCTGTTAACCACTGCACCACCAGGGCTCCACCTGCTCCCTCTAGCCACAGTTAATTGAATGAAGGATAGACAGCTGCACCAGGTTCTCTCCCAGAAATGTGGGGTTGGTTCTTAAAAACCTAAGTTGCTGTTGAGGGCTAGAGTGGGGAGGATAGGCTGGAATCATTGGTTTTGCCGTGCGCTCACTGAAGCAGGGAAAGCCTGACTACAGGAAGAGAAACACTGAAAGGCGCAGAGATGGGAGACCACCCAACCCCAGAGGGAGAGGGATCGCTGTTCATGACCTAGTTTTGTGTTCCAGCCCTTCTCGAGGCCTGACTTTTTGCTTCTGGGCCTTTGCTACGGTGACCTAAACACAAAGGTTTATTTTCTTATGTAACGGAAGACCGGAGATGGGTAGTCCAGAACTGGTATAAGCATCATGAAGTCCTTAGGGATCCAGGCTGCAACCAGCCCTTTAGTCACCACCCAGGGATAAGCTCCTCAGCGTTTTGTTAAAAGATGATGGCTTTAGCTCCAGACAACGGATCTGTATTCTAAACCACAGAAGGAGGGGAAGAAATAAAGGAAAAAACGCCAACATTCTTTCAAGGTTTCCTGGAAGTTTCAAATGATACTTGCATTCACATCTTGACCATTGGTTACATATGGACACACCTAGGTGCAAAGAGGCTAAGGAAAAGTCTTGTCTGCACATTCTGCCACCTACATAAAATGGGCTTGGTTACTAAGGAACAAAGGGAGACTGGATATGACAGTAGTAATTTAGCAGTCTGCTACAAGATAACTATGCTAATCTGTTCGAAAAAAACTGCTCTTGAACTATTGCTAAATGTGAAAAGCAGGTTATGCTTTTATATGTATCATATGACCCCAGTTTTTAAAACAAAACACAAAATCTTACCTGTATTTTCAAAAATTTTAAAATTCAATGTTAATTTTTTTAATAGAGGAGAGTTTTACATGGTTCAGAATTAAAATACAAAAGATGAAAATCCTTCCCACCCACCCAGCTACCCTCCTCAGAGACACTGTTAATATTAAGTTTCTCATCTCTATTCAAAGATACTCCAAGCATGTCCAAACAAATATACTGTTCTGTGCCTTGCTTTTTTCAACTAATAATGTAAATAATTTGGAGATAATGCCATTATCAGTAGGAATTGCTTAATTAAAAAAAGGGAGAAGAATAGCCACTGGTGCCCACTCTCAAACTTATATAGTAAAAATTAATTGTTTATATGTTGAAAGTGCTCCATATTAAAATTCTGGCACATCAGTTTTCTGATAGTTTCCTTGTATGTCCAGCCTCTCCCTTCCTCTAGCTCCATTCTCCTGGGCCCAAGCATGCTGAGTCTTTCCTAGCAATCCTCTCCCTTCCTCCTGCCTTGTTTCTGGCAGCCCTGATTTCAAAACCTACCAAAAACTACAGTAATCAAGACAGTTTGGTGTTGGCACAAGGTTAGATAATGGACAGACTAAAGAGTCCAGGAACCCTCACATTTGGCAGTTGATTTTTTAGGAAGATGTAAAGACAATTCAATAGAGAAAGGATAGTCTTTTGAACAAATGTCCCTGTGATAATTGGATATTTGCATGCAAAAAAAAAAAAAAAAAAGAATTTAGACCTTAATCTCACATTATACACAAAAAAATGAACTCAATGGATCACAGAAATGAAAAACTTTAAAACTTCTAGAAGAAAATTTAAACTCTTCATGATTTGGAGTGAGGCAAAGATTTCTTAGATATAGCACCAAAAGCATGATCCATAAAAGAGAAAAACTGATAATGGACTTGATAAAAATTTAAAACTTTCGCACTTCAAAAGACACCATTAAGAAAATGGAAAGCTATAGACTAGGAGAAAATAATTTGCAAACCTCATCTCTGATAAACAACTTATGTCTAGAATGTGTAACGAACTGGCAACTCAATAGTGAGAAGACAAAACAACCCAGTTTGAAAATAGGCAAAAGATTTGAATAGACATTATACTGAATAAGATATAGGAATGACTAATAAGCATATAGAAAGATGTCCAACATCACTGGTTATTAGAGAACTGCAAATTAAGACGGTATGTTACCTCTAGATTCCAAGTATTGGTGAGGATATAGAGAAACTGGAACCCTCGTGTTGTTGATGAGAATGTAAAGTGATACAGCCATTCTGGAAAAGTTTGGCAATTTCCCAAGAAGTTAAACATAAATTTACCTTGTTGTTATAGTTAGGTGCCATCAAGTTGGTTCAGGCTCATAGCATCCCTATGTACAACAGAATGAAACACTGCCCAGTCCCATGCCATCCTCACAATTGTTGCTATGTTTGAGCCCATTGTTGTAGCCACTGTGTCAATCTACCTCACAGGGGGTCTTTCTTTCGCTGACCCTCTACTTTACCAAGTATGCTGTCCTTTTCCAGGGACTGGTCCCTCCTGATAACATGTCCAAAGTACGTGAGACAAAGTCTCAACCATCCCTGTTTCTAAGGAGCATTCCGGCTCTACTTCTTCTAAGACACATCTGTTTGTTCTTCTGGCAGTTCATGGTATATTCAATATTCTCCACCAATACCATAACTCAAATGCATCAATTCTTCCATCTTCCTTATTCACTGTCCAGCTCTTGCATGCGTATGAGGCCATTGAAAATACCACGGCTTGTGTCAGGGGCACCTTAGTCCTCAAGGTGACATCTTTGCTTTTTAACACTTGACAGGTCTTTTGCAATACATTTGCCCAATGCAATACGTCATTTGATTTCTTGACTCTTGCTTCCATGGGCATTGATTGTGGATCTAAGTAAAAAGAAATCCTTGACAACTTCAATCTTTTCTCCGTTTATCATGATATTTCTTATTGGTCTAGTTGTGAGGATTTTTGTTTCTTTAAAATTGACCTTATCACTCATCAATTGCACTCCTAGGAATCTATTCAAGATAAATGAAAACATATCCACACAAAGATATGTATGAATGTTCCCAGCAGCATTATTTGTAATAGCCCCAAACTAGAAACAATACAAATGTCCATCAGCTGATGAATGGATAGACAAAATATGTGATATCCATACAATGGACTACTTTCAGCAACATAAAGGAACAAACTACTGATTCATGGTACGACAGGAATAAACCTCAAAAACATTATGCTAAGTGAAAGAAGCCAGATGCAAAAGAAAACAAGTTGTATGATTCCATATATATGAAATGTTCAGAAAAGGCAAATTTATACAGACAGAAGATCAGTGGATCAGTGGTTGCCCACAGTTGGGGGTGGAATCAGGGGTTAACAGCAAATAGGCACAAGGAACTTTTTTGGCTAATGGAAATGTTCTAAATTTGGATTGTGGAGATCCCATGCCATCCAGTCGATTTTGACTCATAGTGACCCTACAGGACAGAGTAGAACTGCCCCATAGGGTTTCCAAGGCTGTAAATCTTTACAGAAGCCGACTGCCACGTCTTTCTCCCAGGGAGCAGCTGTTATCTTCCAACTGCTGATCTTTTGATTAGCAGCCAAGGGCTTTAACCACTGCACCACCAAGGCTCCTTGATTGTAGAGATAGCACAGCTATACATTTGCTACAAATCATTGAATTGTCTACTTACAGTGGCTGAATTTTATGTCAGGTAGATTATACATCAATAAAGCTGTTTTTAAAAGTGTCAGCTCCTGGGGGTAGGATGGGGGACTGCATACTGTGGAGGCACCTAAGTCTTCCCAGGAAGCCATGGGACTTGCTCACTTTGCTCCCACCAAGGCTGGTGTACTAGCCTCTCTAGTTTGTGGGTTTACGTTCTTAGAAATATAGTCTTCAAGAATTACCGTATTTAGAGTCAGAGTATGTTTAGGAGAACTGCTAAGTGACAAAACTATCCCACTTTAAGGAGAAGCACATACATAACTACATAAAGGATTTTTGTTTTAGTTCCTACGACAAAGGAGGAGCCCTCGTGGCGCAGTGGTTAAGCATTGGGCTGCTAATCAAAAAGTCGGTAGTTCAAGTCCACCAGCCGCTCCTTGGAAACCCTATGGGTAAGTTGTACTCTGTCTCATAGGGTCACTATGAGTCAGAATCGACTAGATGGCAATGGGTATGTATGTATGTGGTATGACAAAGGAAGGCCTCCCAGGTAGTCTTTCTTTTCTGAGGTGTCATATTGTTAGTTACAGGCCAAAAGAAACAGTGCAAAGTCTATGGTGGGTTCTAGCATGGGGTGTTTGTGTTTCCGAAAAGTATAGAAGGTCAACGTGGTTGGAGGGAAGAGACAAGCCAGAAAAGTGGTGTGTAGGGGAAGCAGATCACGTAGGCCTGCTTCACGTGCACCCTTTAGGAAGGAAGTAAAGTACCATAAAGCGTGCAGGCTCCAGTGGCAGGCTTGCCTGAGTTCAAATCCCGACTGTGCTCCTTTCTAGCTATGAGACTTTGAACCAGTTGGTTAACTTCTCTCCACCCCAGGTCTTCATCTTTATGCTGGGGAGAACTGTGAGGATTAAGTGCGCTAATATATATAAAGGTGTTATAGTAAGCACGTAGTAAATGTTTAACTAATGTTTGCAGAAGAACTTCTAAAGAAGCTGGAAGAAGACAGGGACAGATTCTCCGGATGCCGGTACCCCCTGGGCGTTCTCAGCTCAGAGCGTTTCTCCTACAGGTTGCGGATCAAAGCGCCAAAAGCCTCTGGCAATCACCATGGTAACAGCCACCCACTTCCGGGAGAGGTACAGTGCGCGGCGAGGATCATTTCCAGCCGTCTCTCCGAGCGCGTTTAGGAAGGGGCAGCAAAGGGGCAAGGCGCCGGTGGTGTTCATCCCAGCGTGTCGCCTGGAGGCCAGCGCCAGTGTCCTCGCTGAGTCGCCTGTGTCAACATCCTCTTTGCCGCCCCGAGCCAACTCACGGCCTGGACGCCAGGCCTGAGGCTGGCCGCCATGGACTTCTCCAAGTTCCTGGCTGACGACTTCGACGTGAAGGAGTGGATCAATGCGGCCTTCAGGGCTGGCCCCAAGGAGGCGGCAGCTGGGAAGGCGGACAGCCACGCGGCCACCCTGGTGATGAAGCTGCAGCTGTTCATCCAGGAGGTGAACCACGCCGTGGAGGGTGAGCCGCGGGGGCCTTGCTCGGGGTCCTCCAAGCCGCAGTGCCCTCCCCTACTCCTGGTGGGCAGAGTTCTCCAAACTGGCATGGCGGTACCCAGGGGGTACACTTACCGGGCAGTAAATATCAGGGCTTCTTTTGATGGGAAGGTGATCCCTGGTCCAATCCATTTTCGGTGTTTCTGATTACAGCAAGGAGAAAGTCTCAGCTTGAACCTGGGCTGTCTTTTAAAACTTGCTAAATTTGGATCCTGGTTTTTCACCTCCGGCAGTGTTATAAAAATTCCATTCGAAACTTATGTTAAAAGAGTGAGTTTTAAGACCTTTAGATAATACTCAGCGGATCCTTATATTTGGCAAAAACATTCCCATCCTGGAAAGCACCCTGGTACTCCTGACCAGTGAATGAAAGAGGCAACCACTGGAAGTGATAGTTTTAAAACGGAATCAGGAGTGGACTGCAGAGAGGGAAAAAGAGGTACACAGGGAACCAGCCAGGGCCTGAAGAGTTGACTTTGAGCTTTAGCAGGTGGGAGACCTAGCTGGGGCCAAAACAGCGCTGTTAAAAGACAGTGAAGTCATGTGCATTGAAGGCATCTCTGTGTTCTCTCTTTGCCTCTCAGACCAGTCTTAGAACCTTACCTGGGGTCAGGGTTGGAAACAGATCGTTGTTTTATGGCAGAGCTAGATGAACAAGTTCCTGAAGTACATCTTCAAGATGTTAGAGTTCCATTCATTGCACTTGTGGAACAGAGACTGGTCTTCTTTGATTGGGTACACAGAGAATTGCTTACTCTTTAAAGGATTAAAGGGTTATGTTACCCTTCCAATTCCAGAAAAGACATCATGGTCTGCAAAGATTTTCAAATTTTAGTCTACAGTTGGGATGTCTCTTAAAAAATGCAGATTCCTTGATTTCATACCAAACCCAAACCCATTGCTGTTGAGTCAATTCCAACTCATAGTGACCCTGTAGGACAGAGTAGAACTGCCTCATAGGTTTCCAAGGCTGTGATCTTTATGGAGGCAGATTGCCATGCCTTTCTCCTACGAAGCAGCTGGTGGGTTTGACCATTGACCTTTCAGTTAGCAGCTGAGCACTTATCCACTGTGCCATTAAAATCTCTGGCAGGTAGTCTAGTTGGGTACCTGCGTTTTAACCAAACTACATTTTGCAAATACCATGCACAGCAGGCTTTGGGGCTTCAGCTCTGTGAAATCTTAGGCAAGGTATTTAACCTCTCTGAGCCTCAATTTTCTTATCTGTAAGAGGTGGCTGCTAATACTTGCTAGGATTGTATGTAAAGCACCTGGCAGGAAGCAGGCTTTCAGTGAGTGCCAGATTCCTTCATTCTCCTTCCTTCCAATGGGATGATTAAGATTTCACACAGTGGTGGGAAACAGTTCATGCTGGGGCAAGTTGATGGTTCATCCCCTGGTAAATCCCCAGCCTGCACCCATCAGTCTGAGGATGACATGGTCCTGGTGGAGACCACCTCACTGCTGCCTGCCCTCCAGCCCTCCATTTTCCCCAGGCCCTGAAAACTGTGTGGTTGGTAATGCTTTCGGGAAGATTTCCTTTTTGTCGTCTCATTTCCTTCCTATTGTTCACTGGTGATGGGTCTGATTTTCACCTTTTGTGCATATTGCTCTTGGGTTCTTGCTGCAGAAACAAGTCACCAGGCCCTTCAGAACATGCCCAAAGTTCTTCGTGATATCGAAGCCCTTAAACAAGAAGCGTCTTTTCTGAAAGAACAAATGATTCTTGTCAAGGAGGACATTAAAAAATTTGAACAGGACACAGCTCAATCGATGCAGGTATGTTGGCTCCTGTCCTGAATATTGGTTTTTGGTTTTGAAAGCTTTGGTTTACAAGAGTACGACCCGTGGGACACCAACCTTAACTCAAGCTTCTACAAGCACTCAGACTACTCTATTGCTTGATTCTTTCAGCTTATTCGTCTCTCCCCCAGCATCTCTATGCTTGATTTTTAGTATTTGTTGGTATTGTCTCAGTACATTAGGTTGCTTATTTATGAGGTTTAAATTGTATTTTTAATCGTAACTTTTTGATTTTCCGTAAAGAGGGAATTTTTCGTTTAAAAAGGAAAGCCTTCAATTTTCTTTATTAAAGTAGTGCTGTTTTTTATATCGTTAGCTTTTTGATATATGTGCACTAATTTTATATGTCGTGGGTTTTATCTTTTCCTTTGTTAATCTTAACCTTATATTAATTTTGTTCATTCGTGTAAAATTGTTTTAAATATTATTATTATTATTATTATTTTTGACCTTAACTTTTCTTTGTTTGGTCAAAAAAAACAAAAACAAAAAAATTGAGGGGGTCTTTTTTTTTTTTTTTTTTAATCTTGTTTTCTCTGTTTTTAAAGAAATTTTGGCTTTTAAAATTTTTTATAGCTCATTTCATTCCTTTTAACTAGCATGAGTATTTCAATTTTTTCTCATTTTTAATTTGTTAATTGTATCTACTTTCTTAGCCTTCTGCTTTTCTTGAATTATTTTATTTTTGCCTTCTTGTGTATTCTGTTTTATATTATTCTGTGATTTGATGATGTTTTCTTTGAAGTCTCTGGTCCACTGACCCAAACCATCTCTAGGATTTGGCCAAACTGAGCATCTGATACCAGACAACAAAGGGGAAAAGAGGTCTATTTAGAGGGTATGTAATGCGTTTGAAATGAAAAGCATACTCAGCTTTTGCTCTATAATTCTCTTTGCATTGTGATCTTGTACTCTCTGAGCGTATATGAGAAGTGCTGGTCTTAAATATGACTCTTGGTCAAGGGATTGATGGTTCTCGGAAATGTAACGGGCAGTCTGTGATTAGGAAGTACTTAATGCCCAGTATTTCAGACAAGATTTTTGTCATGTGAGAGTAAGGACAGAAAAATGGACATGTAGATTTCTAAAAGCCTCAAGTTTGTGAAAATACAAGTTTTATTGTAGGAAAGAAAAGGTCACTGATCAGTTCTTCCAGTATATTCAATTTAAATATTTGTTTGGCGCCCTGATGGCACAGTGGTTAAAGCGCTCAGCTGCTAACCGAAAGGTCAGCGCTTCGAAATCACCAGCAGCTCTGCAGGATAAAGATGTGGCAGTCTGCTTCTGTAAAGATTTACAGCCTTGGAAACCCTGTGGGGCAGTTCTGCTCTGTCCTATAGGGTTGCTATGAGTTGGAATCTACTCAGCGGCAGCGGGTTTGGGTTTTTTTGGGATAAGTTTACACATGTGATCCGTGTTGTAAGGGGCGCAGACGCTCCCTGAAGACAGGAGCATGCTGAGATGTTCAAGCCACTGGTGGAAGATAGAGCAGAAGGAACTCTCACGTCCTTACTGATTTACTCTGGGTTTCTCTTTCAGGTATTGGTAGAAATCGACCAGGTGAAGTCTCGAATGCAGCTCGCTGCAGAATCTCTTCAAGAAGCAGACAAGTGGAGTACACTGAGTGCTGATATTGAGGAGACATTTAAGACTCAAGTAGGTTTTTTGCTTGGCAGTTGTTGTGAAATCTGCATAAGCAGGAACTTGGGGTTTGGTGAAAGCAAATGAGATAGTCGTTCATTCAGAACCATAAGGGATAGTATAAGTGGTGGCATACGGAAGCATTCAGGCTTAGGGTGGGGAAGATCTGAAACTGCTCTTGAGTCTTAGCACCCTCTTTAGTTTACACAGTGTGTGAGACTGAAGCCTCTTCGTCCCAGTGAGGGAGTTCAGGAGGAGCCTCCATAAAAATGCACAGGCAGACAAAATGGAGGGAATGAAAACTTGGGCAGAGGGGCCTTACACACCGTGTGATCTTGACAAGTTATTTAACCCCTCTGAGTCTGCAAAGAGTGAAAAATAGTAATACTTTTTTGGATTGCTTTATTGTGGTAAAAATACATATAACAAAACATACACCATTTCAGCATTTTTTTACATGTACAATTCAGTGACATCAGTTACGTTCATTATATTGTGCAACTGTCACCACTGTCCATTCCCACATTTTTCCATCCCCCTTAGTGGAACCTCAATACCCTCTAAGCAATGACTGCCCCTCTTCCCCTCCCTCCTGCCCCTGGTAACCACTAATGAACTTTGGTCTCTGTCTTAGTTATCTAGTGCTGCTATAACAGAAATACCACAAGTGGATGGCTTTAACAAACAGAAATTTATTCTCTCACAGTCTAGGAGTCTAG